ATAAAGTCATTCTCAGGGTCTTGTGAAGTTTCCTTTGCTGTTGGCATTTGGAACATGATGACAGACTATTTGACACCTTGGATAGAGAGAGAAAATAAAAGTAAATTTGGGAAAAAGAGCTTAGTGTGGATGGCAAATAGCTTCTTGCTGAGGTGGGCCTGCCTGTAAAGGAGTCAAGCCATTACAACCTCCTTGACTCTCTCTGTGCCTACCCTGTTCTTCCTGTTTTCCAAGCATCTGCACATGTGGTCCTTCAATCTTACTTAAACATTATTCACAACTTGACCTGGCAAATGAATTAAGTATCTTCTCTGTTCTGATTTGGGGATGCTTACCTAACACAATCATTTTAAAATACAAGTTAACTTTATTTTATATTTCAAGGTATAACAGAACTCACTATTCATTTTTTAAAACTCTCAAAATCCGGAACAATGAGGACAGATAGATATCAGGAGTTGATATATGTGCTGCAGGGAGTCTGTCTTTAAAATAACATTGCAACCAGTGTCATGCTGAATCTAGAAGGCTGACATCTCATCAGGCTGTTCTAAGTTCTCTTTGTTCAAACCAGGGTACGGTTTTTGACAACATTTGGAAAAACTCTCTGGCCCTGTCTGACAGAGGTTTTCCTTTTCAGTGAAGGTTGTAGTTAGGGTGAACAGAAACTAGTAAGCCTGCCACATTTCATTGTTCTGGATGTTTTTGAAGCAACATCATATTGTATAAATTTTTTTGTCAGCCTGTGAAAAAGAACAACAAAAGCATCTTTCCTGATGACATCAGTATGTAGAGAAAATGGCCAGATTTCTGTATTACCTGCCAACTTAAAAAATATATTAAATTAGTTGTTATTAACTGTGAATGGAGCATTGAATGCTCATTGACAAATTAATGCCAAAAGGTTGTTGATGGCACAATAACAATGTTAGAACATGGATTTCTTCATTGGTTCTGTTATTTTACTAAGTTTTATTTTTCCTAGAGCAATTAAGAAAATACCCTTTCTCTTTTGTTTTTGCTTCCTGAAGGAATACATGTAACAGTTATGGTCTCCCACCCCTAGATCAGACATCCTCTAATGGAATAGTATTCCTATTACAATCAGGATATTGCTGGTGTTCAGGTCGAACAGCCTAGTTGATAAATTAACAGATTCGTGAGTCTCTTCATTGGTTGGAAAGATACAGAGTGCAGAGGGCACCTCTTTCTCAATACTTCATCCACAGGGACAGGAGATAAGCCTCTTTGTCCACCTCTCCCAGGCTCTCAGCTGCAGTAGAGTTTTTAGCCATGAAAGACTCACACATGCTGGAAACACATGCGCCCATGGCTGCAGACAGAGATAATAACCTTGACCTCCATTCATTTGACAAGGGAAACGCTCTTGCGTGGGTTGACTTACCACTGCTCACAGCCAAATCTAAATAGCCTATTCAGGGGGAGCTGGACTGACAGATTAGGGATTTATATGTCCAGCTACATGCATTAGCAGCAGGGTAATTTCAGTTGGATACCCAAAGGAAGTTAACACATAGGGGCCACTGAGCTGGAACTTCTCCTGGTATAAGGGTGGGTTTGTAAACTGCTTTTGGCATCACTGGGTGGATTCAAGTTTTTATTCACTCTGACATCAGGGGAGTGAGGCAGTGAAAACAGGACTGGTGTGTGTGTGTGTGTGTGTGTGTGTGTGTGTGTGTGTGTGTAAAGCAGTGCAGCAGTCTACCTCTATGATTTCTTTCAGGAAGACATTTTTTGCATACAATTTAAGAAAATTGGGAAGGGGAGCATTGGGAGAGATGTTGATCAAACTTTACAAAATTTCAGTTTGATAGGAGGGATAAGTTCAAGGCCTTTTTTGTACAACATGATTGCTGTAATTAATAACAATTTATTGCATTCTTGAAAATCACTGAAAAAATAGATTTTAAGTATTCTCACCACAAAGATAAAATATGTGAGGTAATGCATATGTTAATTAGCTTGATTTAGTTATTCCACAATGTGTATATTTTAAGACAACACATTGTACACACTAAATATATATAGTTTTTAATTTGTCAATTAAAATATAATTTTTCAAAATGTTAAAATACAAAGAAATTTTATTGCTGTCGTATTTTGTTCATGAATAATCTTGCAAACACACATAGTATATTTGCACATAATATATAGCATCACAGTAGAATTTACACATAAAGGTTGATTTGACAAAAGCTTGATTTTTATATTAATATTTCCTAAGATATAAAAACACATGTAACTCTGGTGGATCTGGGCATGAGCTCAAGTTTGCATCCTTACTCAACACTGAGGCTTCAGCATGTTGTTTATTTTCTTTTAAATCATGAGGAAGGGGAAGGGGTGGATGGATGAAAAAATTACCTATTGGGTACAATGTGAGCAGGTGGCCGTGGTGGATACACTTAGAGTCCAGGCTTCTTCACCACTATACAGTGCAAGCATGTAACCAAATTAGTGCCCCCAAAGCTATTGAAATAAAGAAATAATAATAATAAATAAACGAGCAGGAAATTACTATTCAGAAAATTAATTTAGCACTGTATTTCTCAGTAATATCCAGAATGGAAATATAATTTGTATCTTTCTACAAATATCTTCTTATTTGTTTTTTTTTTTTGAGTTGGAGTCTCTTACTCTGTCATCCAGGCTGGAGTGCAGTGGCATGCTCATGACCACCTCAGCCTCGACCTGCTAGACTTAGGTGATCCTTTCATCTCAGCCTTCCAAGTAGCTGGAACTACAAGCGTGCTCTACCATGCTCGGCTTATTTTTTGATTTATTGTAGAGATGAGGTCTTGCCAAGTTGCTCAGGCTGGTCTTGAACCTGTGGACTCAGGGAATCCTTTCACCTCAGCCTCCCAAAGTGCTAGAATTATAAGCATGAGCCACCGTGCCCAACCTCTTATTTTATTTAGGCAGAAGATGATAGTAGCTCAGTTGGGTTAGGCTACAGTGAAGGCAGGGGAAGTGGATAGATTTGGGGAGAAATTAGAAGGAAGAACTGGTCAGTGAGGAAGAAGGAAGTGTCCACTCTGATGCCTAGGTTTCTTAGGAAAGTGAGGAAAAAGTTCCAGTTACTTTCTCTGAGAGACTTCCTCCAGAGACTGGAAGAGGAACTGGGCTTTTCCTGGTAGGAAGAAGGGAAGTCATGTTAAAATTTATTTTAGTTATGATAAATTTAGGCCTATGAGATTATTGAGGGGAGCTATTAAGCAGATAGTTGGATATCTGCATTCTCTAGCTCCAAAAGAGTCAGGACTAGAGATGTAAATTTGAGTTGTCTATGATTGCATGATGTTTACAACACCTAGGAAAACCCTTGGGTAATTTCAATATTTCTACATGTTGTTGGGACTTTTCTAGTGTTTTGCCCCATTGAGGAATTGCTTCCCTCAATGATAATTTAACAAGCATGATCATAATGATGAGGACTGGTATTTTCTGGAATCTTAGCCTTGTAAGAAACCAACATGGTGGATATTAGGTGGTGTAACTAACTGGCAGAAGCAGAGGCTGAGGAATGGGGCCAAAGTGGAATCTAGGCCTGACTCTCATCCACACCCATTACCATCATCTCCTTGCCCTTTTCTTTTCCAAAATAAGGGTTATAAAAATAAAACCTTGCCTTGCAGTTTAATGAGGTTTCAACAACATAGGGAAGCCATACTTTCTGTAAGTTTTCTAGCACATTGTTGGCACTCTGCTCATAGGTACATCATAAATTCATGGAAGGAAGGAGTTGATGAGCCCAAATGCTGAAGATGGTAGACCACTCCTGAAATGGTTTTATTTCACAATATTTACAAATAGGATGAGTATCCTACTTTTAATGGAAATAATCACATAGTTCTCAACACATTTTTTTAGGGGTAAAATTTCTGAATAAAAAACCAGTAAAAGTTTTCTCTACTTTTCTTTCATTGATTATCTGTTGGGAATGTACTTTTGCACCCAGATTGGAAGTTCAATGGTGCAATCATAGCTCACTGCAGCCCCAAACTCCTGGGTTCAAGTGATCCTCTTGCCTCAGCTTTCTGAGTAGCTTGAAATACAAGCATGCACCACCATGCCCAGTTAATTTAAAACAATTTTTTGTAGAGATGTTTCACTTTGTTGCCCAAGCTAGTCTCAAACTCCTGGGATCAAAAAATTATCCTGTCTTAGCCTCCTAAAGTGCTGAGATTACAGGTGTGAGCCAACACACCCAGCCTAAGATGCCTTCATGTCACTTGCACTTTAACGAAATATACTTAATAATAGATGCAAACTAGTATTTTTAACCATATGCAAATGATGGTAAGATAATGAAAACAATCTTTTTTTGTGTGTCTGTTTTTTAAAAATGTTCTGTATAAAACTTTAAATTATGCTTTCATTCTCATCTACCACATCAGTTCAACCCATGTACCTTTTTGAGTGGGCGTTAATTTCAACATAGTTTCTGTACTTATGTACAAAACTATTATAAATTTCTTTCTAGAAGGATCATCCTTAATTAACTACCATGTATATAAGAAATGCATGAGAATATTAAGAAATTTTGGATTTAAAAAAAATTAATAGACTTCTTTTTGGAGCAGCTTTAGGTTTACAGAATAATGAAGAAGAATGTAGAAAGAGTTTCCACATCCTCCCTTTCTCCTTCAGTTTCCTCTAATTATTAACATCTTGCATCAATGTGGTCCATTTTCTATAACTGAGGAGCCAGTATTGATAAATTAGTAACTACAATTCATAGTTTACATTGTTGCTTACACTCGATTGTATATTCTGTGGTGCCTGACAAATACATAAAGTCATGTATCCACCTTTGAAGTAACTTATAGAGTAGCTTCCTGCTCCCAAATCCTCTCTGTTCTGCCTATTTATCATCTTCCCCTCCCTCCAAACCATTGGCAACTACTGATCTTACTGTCTTCATAAGAGACTTTGGATTTTTACCCTTGCTTTTTTGGTTAGTTTTCCACTCAATCACAATGAAAGAACTTGCTGTGATACCTTTGAGGGAGGAAAGCACCACAAATGCTTTTCAATTTCCCACACACAGATTCAGACATCTCCAATTACTGAGAGGCGGCTCTTCCTTATTTGACTTCCAGGGTAAAAGACTGCCAGAAGGCAGAGAAAAGTCACAGATAAGCAAGGCGAAAAATGAAAAGGAGAGTGACGTAGGACTCCTATCAGGGTTGGGAGACTTGAATTTTTTGGATAACTTGCCTCTCCCACCTCATCCTAAACCTTTTGACTCAAAGCTGATGAATCAAACAATTGGTTTATGGATAGGACTGTGGAAGGCAATGGCCCTCACAGATTGGTTTACCTGTCTGGGGTCAGTGGTTTTCAGGAACCCTGCATCTTTGTTGGTAATATCAATTTTGCTACTATGGACATAGAGGTTTTCATTCTTGTTGCTTTAATTTAATAGATCATATGTGCATCTGGTACTTGTATTTTGCAAGTATTAACTCACATAAACTTCATTGCAATGCTATGAAAGAGTTCTCTTTTTTAACGCATTATACATATGAAGAATCTGAGAGTGACAGTATGAGAATCCATAACATCTGGCTCTACAATTCATGCTGAGAGGCACCTCCCTTCCCTACTCCTTTATAGCTATAATTTTGTCCTTCTGACCTAGGCAGGATTTCGGGGAATGTCTTCTAAAAAGACACTATGTCTTTCTGTTTTTTAGCAACTAAATCCTTTCACTTACTCTCTGCCTGCCTGTCCCTCACAAAGAAACCCAAAATATTTCTGATGATATTCTATATCCAATAGACCAGTGGTCCCCAACCTTTTTGGCATCAGGGGCTGGTTTTGTGGAAGACAATTTTTCCATGGACCAGGGGTGGAGGGATGGTTTTGGGATGATTCAAGCTCATTACATTTATTGTGCACTTTATTTATAAATCCCTCACATGTGCGGTTCACAATAGGGTTCACACTGTTATAAGAATCTAATGCCATTACTGATCTGACAGGATATGGAAATCAGGTGATAATGTGAGCGATGGTCCTTGGCCCAAGAATTGGGGACCCCTGCATAGACTTTAGTCAGAGGTCCTCAAACTTTTAAAACAGGGGGCCAGTTCACTGTCCCTCAGACCGTTGGAGGGGCGGACTATAGTTTTAAAAAAAACAACTATGAACAAATTCCTTTTTTTTTTTAAACTATAGTCCACCCCTCCAACAGTCTGAGGGACAGTGAACTGGCCCCCTGTTTTAAAGGTTTGAGGATCCCTGCCTTAGAGGGTCTGAAGTGGATGAGGGATGGGGTGACCCATGTTATAGTCAATACTTGGTCTCCTGTTCTCTGTGTAAGTCCCGTCCCAGAGTAATTTTCACTCTCTGGAACTCTGCTTTTCTATTTGAAATGTGAAATAATTTGATGAGATGGTTTCTGTGGTTTTTGTGTAAGATTAAGGATGATATTTCAAAACTTTATAAAGCCATATATGGTGGCTTTGTTTATAAACTCAGTTATTCAGGAGGCTGAGGAGGAAGGATCACTTGAGCCCAGGAGTTTGAGACCAACATAAGCAGCCTACCAAGATGCCCCCATCTCTAAAACAAACAAAACAAAAACAAAACAACTTGAATAAATAAGAATAGAGTTTCATTTGCACATTACAGAAAGACTTCATTCTCCAGTCAAACCAATGTAAAGTCATTTCCTCCTTATTTTAGACTTGAATTTTGTTACATAACTACTAGAATTTTAAGGAGAAATTTTAGCAACTCTGAGCACCTAATGGGGCAGGGTTGAGTTTATAATTTCTAACATCATGGAGTTCTAACATCTAACACATATGGAGCCATAACTACGGCCTACTTTTTAAAATGTCAATTAACCTAGTGCAGGGCATATTTTCTTTCAGGCTGTGCCTGTTGCTGACATGTATTGTGTTTGAAGTGGAGAGAGAGGGTGGTTTACTGGCATGGGGCAATACTCTTATCCCAGGGAACACAGGGTGAATTAAGTCATGAGAGTTGAATTTTCCAGTTACGAAGAAGTCTGGAGACTAGGAGGAAATACAAAGTTGAAGGGTACTTATCACCGCTGATTTAAATCTCTACGTTTTGGATGGATGCCACAGTTTCATTTAGTGCAAAACCAGTTTGTCCATTTTTGCTTCTTGGATGTTTAGAGAATGTTTAACATTTTCTTTTTATGGTTATCACCATGTCTGAGATACAATTTCATGCCTTTTGGGATATATAAATTCAGCCTTTCTAAATATTTGTTGTAACCAACTATAACAATACAGCAACACATTGAAAGCTAAAACTTGAAAACATACTTCACAATTTTGCAGATTTTATGACTCCATTGTGTATGTATGTGTGTGAATTTGCCATAAGGTACAAAAACATTATTTTATTTTTTATTATAGCATTTATGACATAAAAATAATCTAACAATGGTCTGGGAATTGCTGAATTTCTAATAATAAAAATATAAACATTCTCAATCTTTTTATGCTCGAAAATTTGTTAAATGTGCCCAAGGAGATGGTTCATACTGGTAAATATGTGTCATAGATTGTAAAATAAGGTTAGTATCTGAGATCTTTCTTTTTTCTCTTGTTTTGGTGGCATGGAAGAGTTGGAATGAAGAAAGGCCAGTGTTTTAAATTTTAAAGAATATTGTCTAAAATAATTCATTTTGTTAAAATGAGGATGGTAAATTTTACCATCATTATCATCATTAAATTGTTGTAGGTCAAATTAAATGATCACTTTATTTTCCAATATAGTAATTATATAGAAGGAGAATGTTAAAAAATGTTTAAATGAATTGGGTATCAACATTTCAGCTCCTGAAATGTTCACATATATATTCGTTGGTCTTAATTACAAAATATTTTTATATTTTAGGCTTCAACAATTGTCTTAATAAGTACAGAGTATTTTAAAAAAAATACTGCTTTTATGAGAAAAGTAATACACACCCATTTAAAAGCATGTAGAGAATGGAAATAGTTGGCGATAAAAAATTGTTGTCCATGGATCCACGACCCAGCTATTAACATGGGACAGCATTGCCTTTCACTATATATCCAGGAATCAAAATCTCTTTTGTGTTAATAGGACCTTAGTGCTCATGATTGAGGCACAGAGGAGAATGGAAATATCTCACTTCTGAATCACAGCACGGTGACAGGTCAGCTTGGGAATTGCCAGGCACTTATTTCTTTATGCACTTAAGAGTTTGCATTCTATTTTAAGAAAAAACTTTATTCTATAGTTTTGTCTGTATTATCACTATGGTCTCATGAGTTCTGATGTACTGAAATAGGTTATAATCTATTCCTGCCAATATTTGTTTTGATCCCCAGTTTGTCACTGGTTTGGCCCATGGAGGCATTTTCAAGCACACTGCTGCATTGGTTTGATGCATGCCTGTTATTTTTTGATCACTTCCATCCTTTGTGGCACCACAAGATGCTCCAGGCCTGTCTTGTCTCTCCCTTGTCCACACCTGGGTTTAGCCATTTCTCCGAGGGTCACTGGGATACTTTTTTCTTCATTTTGTATTCATGCTTGTACAGTTTTCACAAGAAGGCCCTGTGTGAGACAATATATTTAAAAACATTCGCCTATGCAGACCTGTGAAAATATGCCCCAAGAGTGATAAAAATTGAGTTCTGTGGAAAGGTGAATGGTACTAGAGACAAGAACGTAGAACAGCTTGCGAGGGAGACAGAGACACAGCCACAGCTTCCTTCTATGTTGCCCTTTGTGCCTGCTGAGAATTTATTACTAGAACAAACTTCTCTGTAGAGACTACCAGGTAACAACAGCAGCCAGTTTTCCATTTACCTGAGACCTTATTTGGGTTTGGGATTGCAAGTTAAGTTAATGAAGGTAGCGTGAATTTTTTTTTTTTTAATGAATGAGACCAAATTGAAATGTAAAAGGATATGCTTGTGTGTGTGTAAGTTTATATTTCAGTGGCTAGAGTTTCTGTGTTGTCATGGAGGTCATCAATCACCATGTTTAAAAAAATCACCACTATAGTATGACAAAGTAGGTAGAGTGTTTGCTGGGAAATTGCCTTAACAATCTTGATATGTGTTTAGACACCTGATAGTAACGTAGGATTTCACGTTCTCTAGTGCCAGAACTCTGTTTTAATTATTTCCCAACATGACATTTTTCTGTATTCAGTATTCTTGTATTCCCCATGTGAAATGAGGAATACATCCATTTCACAAAGGTTGATATATTTAAGTGCTTTAATAACATACAAATTGACAATTGTATGGGAAAGTTCTGAGTTAAATGATCTGTTATACAAAATCAGCAACATGGATGAAAACATGTTTGAAATTAGCAAGTATCTAAAAAAAATCCCACCATGCTTTTTATCAAGAACTATGACATTAAATTTATTTTTAATATGGAAAAAGAGAACCCTTCACTTAAAGATTATATTATTTTGCATCCTGCTCCTTTTTTCTGTTACCTTCATTTTGGTGAAATGTTTTTCTCCTGGGCCCACAAGAATTCCTTTTGATTCCTTCTTTTCGATTCCTAATCTCACACTCTTTTTTTCTCTTGTAACAATTTTATTGAGATATAATTCATATACTGTGTAATTAACTTATTGAAAGTGTACAATTCAGTGGCTCTTGGTATATTCAAAAATGTGTACAATTATCAACTCTGTCAGAAAATTTCCATCAGTCCCAAAAGAACTCTGTCATGACCTTCAATTACCCCATTTCTCCCAGCCCTAAGAAACCAGGAATCTACTTTCTGTCTCTATAAATCATACTTAAAAACAAGAACACCTGAGATAGGCATGAGAACCGCAGAACTCAAGTGGGGTTTAAATTTCTGATTAGAGAAGAGGTGTTATCACGTGTTTTCAAATGAGAACGAAAACATAGCTACCTCCATGTGGGTGCATTTCAGAACAGGTAAATTGCCAGCAAGGAAAGTCAATGAGACATCAAATCAAGGATAGGAAAATAATGTCTTGAATCACACCATCATGGTTCAAAGGGAAGGAGAAGATTGAACTATGCATGCATAGCTGAGTTATATATGTATTTACTCTGAAGATTTTGAAGATAGTATTACCAAGCAGAAGATAGTTTGAAGATAGTATTACCAAGCAGAAGGGCTCACTGCTCAGTGTGCTAGAAGCCAACATTATGACATTGGGTTTTTGAGAAAATAAAAGCTTTTTATTGTAGGTGGATCAATAAGGAGACAGGAGTCCTGCTCAAATCTGTCTCCCTGTGTTGGTCTTAAGGCAACAATTTTATTAGACAAAATTTAGGGAATGGATTCTGGGATTAGCAGATGATTTGTGAAAGAAGAGGGAAAGTCATAGGGCATGTGCAGTAAT